TCTCCAGTGCTGGGATTACGTGTGTGTGTGTGTGTGTGTGTGTGTGTGTGTGTGTGTGTGTGTATGTGTGTGTGTGTACATATACATATTATAATATATGGATATATTTAATGTGGGTTCTGGGGATCAAATCCAGATCCTGATGATACTAACTTGTAATAGGCAGAAAAACACCACCGCAAAGACATCCATATCTAAATCCCTAGAGCATATAAATATGTTACATTACAGGCAAAAGGAAATGAAGGATAAGCTGGAATTAAGTGGCTACTCCAGTGATCTTACAATAGAGAGCTCATTCTGACTATCTGAATAGATCTGATATAATCACAATGATCTGCAACTGTGGGTGAAGGAGGTGGAAGTGTCAGAGTGATGAATGTGAGGAAGATGGGCTTTGACAGCAAAAGCAGACCAGAAGCCAATAAGAGAGGGCAGCCATTAGATGCCAGAACAGGCGTGAAATAACCTTTCCCAGGAATACAGCTCTCCATGGTGCCTCTAACTCAACACCTCACTTCACACTTCTGACCACTAGGCCTGTTAGATAACAAGCTTTCTAAGCCAATAGGATTATGGTAGCTTGTTACAACAGCCACTGGAAACAGATACAAACAGAAGCAAAACTGGTTAATGTTTTCTACCTATAGTCAGCAGCCTTGCTGAACTATCAATAGAGGTAGCTTATAGATTCCCTCAAGTTTTCTATGTATATACATGTTGTCTATGAACAAAGGCAAATTTACTCCCTCCTTTTCCGTGTCTACGCCTTTTGTTTATTTTTATTGCAATGGCTAAACCCTAATACAGTGCTGACTCTAAGTTTTTATTTGTTTTTTGGTTTTGGTTTTTTTGTTTTTTTGTTTGTTTGTTTGTTTTTTGAGACAGGGTTTCTCTGTGTAGTTTTGGTGCCTGTCCTGAATCTCTCTCTGTAGACCAGACTGGCCTCGAACTCCCAGAGATCCGCCTGGCTCTGCCTCCCAAGTGCTGGGATTAAAGGCATGCGTCACCATCGTCCAGCTGACTATAAGTTTTTAGTGCAAACATCTTTAATTTGCATCTGGCCTTAAGGGACATTTCCTGTTTCAACTTTTAGAAACGATATTGCTGAGGCCATTAAGATGGCTCAGTGGATAAAGGAGCTTGCAACTATGTAGCCGAAAGTTTTCCTGTGCTCCTCCTGGCCTGTGGTCAGGACAAATCTCTCTTACCTGCCGGTCCTGCAGCCGCTCGGACCCAAATAAACACACACAGGCTAATATTTTTAAACTATGGCCATGGCAGGCTTCTTGCTATCTAGTTCTTATATCTTAAATTAACCCATTTCTATAAATCTACACTTTGCCACGTGGCTTGTGGCTTACCAGTACTTTTACATCTTGCTTCTCATGGCGGTGGTTGGCAGCATCTCCTCTGCTCTGTCTTTCTTCTCTCTCTCTATCTGTTTGGATTTTCTGCCTGCCTCTAAGCTGCCTTGCCATAGGCCAAACAGCTTTATTTATCAGCCAATTACAGCAACATATTTTCACAGCATACAGAAGGACATTCCCTCATCACAACCAAGCCTGACTATCTGAGTTCAATCTTGGAGATCCACATGGTGGAATGAGAGAATGGACTCCTGCAACTTGTCCTCTGACCTCCACACATGGGGCATGGAGCACAGCTGCACACTCACATCAATTAAAAAATGTAATAAATTTTTTTTTTTGTTTTGTTTTTCGAGACAGGGTTTCTCTGTGTAGTTTTGCGCCTTTCCTAGAACTCACTTTGTAGACCAGGCTGGCCTCGAACTCACAGAGATCCACCTGGCTCTGCCTCCCGAGTGCTGGGATTAAAGGCATGAGCCACCACCGCCCGGCAAATTTTGTTTTTAGAGAACGATGTTACTGTAGGTTTTTATAACGTCCTCTACCAAAAGGGGTAAATTTCCTGCTATTCCCTAATTTTTCAAGAACAAGTACTTAATTTAATTTTTTTTCTTAAGGCATCTTTTCTTATATCACTATGGAAATACTATGAAATTCATTAAAAACATCTTTCACTGATAATTATTATGTTATTCACCCATCACAGTCATCAAGCTCTAGTTCCTCAGAGACATTTGCCATTTACTTCTGCCTGACATCACAAGAACTGTGTGTGTGGTGCATGCATGCATTTTCCTGCGTAAGAGTGCATGACCTTGCTGCACATGTAGAGGTCAGAGGGCAAGCCTGAGTATCAGTCCTTGCCTTCCATCTTGTTTGTGACAAGGTCTCGTTTGTTGACGACTGCCCTGTATGCCAGGCAAGCTGGCCTTCAAGCTTCCAGAGACTCTCCTGTCCCCACCTCCCATCTCACCGCAGGAGCACTGGGGTCACAGAAGTGCGCTACTGTGCCCAGCTTCATCTTAGTTCTGGGCTTTCTAACTCGGGTCCTTTCACAGAAAGCACTCTTCCCACTGAGCCACCTCCCTGGGCCATGAACTGTAAATGTGATGTCACTGTCCTTGCTTAACCTTTCCCAGAAGGCATGAGGACCCACCCAAGGTTAAGGGTTCTCAGAAGAGATTGGTTTTATGTCTTTTTCGGAATAGTAAATGGTTTATCAGAACTACTGCATCATCTGTCTATGACAACACAGACACATGACAAGCAGAAGGGGAAGCCTGAGGCTGTGGAGCTCCGTGCAGTCCCCAGGGGCACCGTTCTCCCAGCCCTTCTTCTCTGGGTTCAGCAACCAGAGCCTCAGAGGATATTTCCCATGCCGCACAGACACATCTAAGCCTCAGCTGACGGCAAGAAGTTGGTGGCTCTCATCTATTAAAGGTAAATCTATTCTAATGAGTACCTTTGCCAGGGTTGGGACTCCCTGAAGGGTCCGGAATTCGGAAAGAACCCTCAGTTCCAATTATTGGCCCTACTCTATTTGTGATACAATCTACCTCTGCTCCAAGGGACAGGAAGAAACGATGGCACTGGTGAGATTTCTTTTTTCCCTTTTTAAAAAATCCTTATGGATGTCTATTGTGCCACCAACCTGCCCCCGGGCAGAGGGGGTGGGGAACCAACTCTTATCCCAGCCAACCAACAAGCATTTCTGTACTGATATACTGGGACAAGGGACCCTGTTACAGTTGCTTCTGTGCTTATTCGCCAGGGCAGGATCTTACTAAAGTTATTGTTGTGATCATAAACAAAGAGCCCGAATCCCTGCTGTAGAAGGGCTACACCTTTAGATTGACAGAGGGAGTGGGACGGGGATTGCCAGGTGGAACACCATAAGCCTTTGGGCTTGAAACCCAAACCCCTTAGGAGCTGACGGCCTTCCCAGCTCTGGGGCCTCCTCCTCTGTCCCAGGTCTCTATAGTGCTTGCCAATAAACTTTTCTTTTGCTTTGCCCTGAGACTGCTCCCTGTCTGGTAATTCTTTAATTCACGGAGAAAATGACCCCATCTGCTAGCTGGTGTTGGAATGATCCACGCAAGATAGTTATTGACAACCACTCTGATTAAGCCAACTAAAAGTTTTAAGTCCTTTTTATTAATAGCCAGACTAAGAATGGACTTGTGACTCTTGCTGCCCATGCTCTGGGGTACAGAGTTTTTAAAGCAAAAGCCACAAAGACATAATTTACATCACAGTTAGATTAGGGTCAAAGTAACCTTGAAATGTTTGTTCCTAGAAGAGCATAGTAATTATTTTAGACATAACATGCCAATTATTTTTGACTTATATCATTTCTAGTTATTTTAGTTTAATTATTCTGATTAGTACAACTGAACCATGCTCAAGGCCATGGGAATCTCAAATGACTACTGAGGGGGGCGGGGGTAGAGGGCCTGAGAACTGTCTAAACAAACACAAAATGGAGTCCTAACAGGATGGTGTTGCCTTTTTATCAAAAGAAAACAGGATTTATGGGAAGGGCTACTGCAGCAGACACTTGTTTTACTTTTGTTAATGACACTTTAATAGTGAGATGTCTCCCAACGTTAATTTAGAAGTGAATCGTGAATTAACAGTGGTAGTGCAGGTGGAGGGCATAAATTTATTCAATCCACAAAGTTCAAAGAGGAGGCTTTACTGGATGTAGGAAATGAAAACGGGAGTCAGAATAGCGCCTCAGTTTCTCTAACTTGATCAACAGCAGTCACTCAATAGTGATAGCTGTATGCCGGCTCTGCTTGGCGCTGGGGTACAGGGATATAGGGAGCAAGCCGATCCTGGAGTCTAAAAGGAAAGACAGATGCTAAACAGACGTTAGGCAGAATAAGGAAGTCTGGCAGGGGTAGTAAATTCACAGTACGCTGCTGGTAGACAGATTCGCTTTCTGTGCTGAGAGGGAAAGAATCAGAGGTGGCATCCCAACAAGTTGAAACACGAGAGAAAGAAGCAGGTTGGGGGCCAGAATGTTGGGTTCTAGAGCGACTCATTTCCTTTCTTTCTTTTTCTTTCTTTCTTTCTTTCTTTCTTTCTTTCTTTCTTTCTTTCTTTCTTTCTTTCTTTATCCATTCATTTATTTATTTTTTGTTTATTTATTTATTTGTTTGTTTGTTTGTTTGTTTTTAGTCTTAAAATCAGAGTTGGCCTGTCGTTCCTAGAGCGCACACGCTTGTCTGATTTGAGACTCAGCTAGCATTGGTATTGGAACAGCCACTAATGGAGATTTGATGGGTGAATGGACGGACAGGCGGACGGACAGGCAAACGGGGGATGAAAGAATCTCTAAAGGTTTCTTTAAGTCAGGAAAGTGTCTAGGGACCACAGAAATAGCTGGGTGCAGTTTGGATTCTAGACTCAGTAAATTTCCCGCCAGCATGCCAGTCTCGCGGAGCATGCGCCACAGTTCGTGTGGCGAACGGCATGTCGGGACTTGTAGTCCTTAGAGAGATGAGTGTATTCTTCACACCCCCGCCCCCCTCTCTAATAACTGCCCCCAATCTTCCTGTTCTGAATCCCTCCGCGATTCCCTTTCTTATAAGGACATTAAAAGCATCGAATTGGTGTCACTCCTACCTTCTGTCGCGACATGACACGGGACCAAAACAAACCGCCACCGGTGCCGGCGAGAGCGTGTGTGTGTCTTGTTTCCATGGCAACGAAGGGAGGTGTCCGGATCCACCACTCTGATTGGATGACATATTAGGTCACGCCTCTAGACAGTAGCCGCTCGGTCCGACTCCGGGCCCTTGGAAGAGATGCCCAACCTTTTGCTCTTGCGCCCCTTCTCTGCCTAGGATACACTTTGCTAGAGGCTGCCCGCCCGCCCGCCCGCCGCTGCACTTACTGTCCAGTTGTCCAGCTACGCTCCCCCCGAATCGAAAAGCAATGCATTTGAAAAATGGTCACGTTTCAGAAAACGCAGTCCTCCGATTCTACTGAAGGAAGTTTCCTCACCAGGACACCTGATTATTTGGTCTCCTCAAAACATTGTCTTTTTTTTTTTTTTAAATTTGGGTTTGGATTTTTTGTTGCTTGAAACAGGGTCTCACGTTACCCAGGCTAGCCTCACTCACTTCATAACCAAAGACGACCTTGAACTCCGGATACTCTTGCCACAACCACACCTCTACATCTGGCTCCCTCACTATCTCTAACTCTTAAGCACCCAGGCACAGTGGCATTTGCTTGGGAAGTAAAAGCAGGAGGATTCGATGGCATCCTTGGTGAGAAGATGAGTTTAAAGTCAGCTGGTATGACATAAAATCCTGCCTCAAAAACAAAAACAAACAAAAATAAGCTATTTATAATCTTATACAAATTCTGATTTTTGTGTGTGGTACTAGGGATTGAGCCTAGGGCCTTCTGTATAATAGACAAGCACTTTACAACTGAAATATATCCCACACAGAAAATAATAATTTTTTTTTCTTTTAAAAACAGGGTCTCTATGTGTAATGCTGACTGTCCTAGAATACACTTTGTTGACCAAGCTGGCCCCAAACTCAGAGGTCTGCCTTCCTCTGCCTCCACCTCCCAAGGACTGGGATCAAAGGTGTAAGCCACTAGCCAGGCTATAATAATAATTAAGTACCAATTGTATGACGGAGCTAGCCCCCATGCCTGCTGCAGCGTCACGCTCTAGTGCCCACTTCACACTGTCCTTCTCAAAGTGGTTCTCTGCCCGAGCACTTGGAACACACATTCCATCACCCCCCACCCGTGGGCAGCCTTTCCAAGCTCATCCAGCTCAATCTGTGGCCTGTTCTTCCAATGCAGTCTCCAACCTGTTTCCAGTGGGTGGTTTGACCTTTAATTTTCATCCCCACATTCTGAAATCCACCCTTACTGAAGGCACTTTCTGCTCCTCTGCCTTTACCTCAACTGGTACTTTATCTCAGGACTTCTCTAACAATCTACAACTCCGGTCTGGAAAATTTCCTCTAAATCCTCACTATCTCCTCCTGTAAGTATCTAGAAAGAAAAAAGAGGGGGGGGGGAGGAGTTATTCTCTGTTTTCCACTCTGCTCCCAGAGTGTAGAACAATGCTCGGCACTTGGCAGCTGGCCAACACTGTCCAGGAACTAAATGAACTATGAGAAAATAGTAATTAAACAGATACTTACCAACTGTGAGACTAGAATACAAAGCCCCAGACTAAATATATGTCCAAAGTAATTGAGAGCAAATATTCAAATGTTCATATACACATGTTCACACCTGAAGGATTCACAACAGCTCTCAAATGGAGACAACCTGAATGTCCACCAAGAGATAAATTAGTTACATATTAGATACATATAATCGAATGTTACTCAGCCATAAAGAGGCACACTGATGTTGATATGCAGATGAACCTAAAAAATATGCTAAGGGAAAGAAGACACATAGAAGGTCATAAAGTGTGTGTGTGTGTGTGTGTGTGTGTGTGTGTGTGTGTGTGTGTGCGTGTGTGTGCGCGTGCGTGCAGGGGGGGATGCCCAAACAACTCTCACAAAACATTAAGAAAAAGAGGTCACCACCCTGGCTTCTACAAAAGAAAAATGGGCAAAAGATAGCTTGTTAGATGCTTTTGTTGTTGACTTAAGAAAGGAAAGGTTTGCTTTAGCTCAAAGTTTGAGGTACACAGCGTGCTGGGGAAGGGTGTTGATGGGAGCGTGAGGCAACAGGACTAATTGCAGTCACAGTCAAGAGTCAGAAAAGACAAATGCTGGTGCTCGGCTGATTTCCTTTCTTTTTTGTGTGCAGCCCAGAACATTTTCTTCTTCCCATGCAGCCCATGGAATGGTGCCACCTTTTTTTCAGATGAGTCTTCATACTTCAATTAACCCAATCTAGAAAATTCCTCAAGGGTAACCCAGAGATGTGTCTCCCAAGTGGTTCTAGACCCTGTCAAGCAGACAATGTTACACATCACAGACAGGAACAGGGAATTTTCTGCGAATTCTACAAATTTGTTTCTGTTCATTCTACAAATGAATGGGGATGAGAGCACACATCTGTGATCCGAGCACTTGAGGAATAGAGACAGGAGGATTGTTGCAAGTTTGAGTACAGCCTGGCTATCTATTGAGTTCCAAGCCATCTAGGGCTACATAGTGAGAACTTGTCTGGAAAAGAAGGGAGGGAGAGAGAGAGATGAGAGGAGGGAAGGGAGGGTGAACGGATAAAAGAGGGAGGGGAGAAAAAGACTAGAAACTAACAGCAAAGCATCTGAAGGGCATAAATAAAGACAATTATATGGTGGTATTTTATTTGTACTGAAATGTGATTTTAATTGTATGTTAATAAATAAAGTTGCCCAGAGGTCAGAGCTATTAGAACCATAGCAAGAGCTTGGCGGTGGTGGCGCACGCCTTTAATCCCAGCACTTGGTAGACAGAGCTAGGTAGATCTCTGTGTGTTCAAGGATACAGCCAGCTTTGGAGACACATGCCTTTAATCTCAATCCCAACCATAGAAGACCTGGAAGTCTCTACAGACAGGCAGTGATGAGGCAGTCATGTGTTTGGGTTTACAACCAATGAGAAGGCAGAACAGAAAGACAAACACACAGGAAGTAGGTCTCTTTTGGAGAGGTCTCTTGGCTTAAGAGGCTAGCTGCAGGGTAAGGCTCTTAGCTCTGATCTCTTGGCTTTCTTCTTTGCATTGGTTCTGTGTTTCTTATTTAATAAGAGGGTTGGTTACATCTACACAATTATAAATTGGGGTTTTAAATACATCAGTTGCACATGTGGGTCCAGAAGATGTTTTTATTCCATCCTTAAGAATCCAGATACTGGGGCTGGAGGGACGGCTCAGGAGTTGAGAGCATTCTCTAATCTTGTAGAGGTTCCAGGTTTGGTTCCCAGCATCCACATGGCAGCTCACAGCCACTTGTAACCTAGTCCCAGGAGATCTAACCCCCTCTTCTGGACTTTAAGGGTACCTGCATTCACGTGTGCACATACCCCCATCACATATATGAATGATTAAAAATAAATAAGTTAAAAAAAGAATCCAGCTCTGCATGGCTTTGGTGGAGGTGGTGGGGCAGCAGCAACAGGTCTAAACTGGGGTGTTGGTTCAGTTCTTCTGGACTTCACAAGGTAAATTTCATGAGCACCTTGTAAACAACACAGGCCATGAAATGCAGCTTCACACAGAGCTTGGAAGTACAAAAATATTGGAGACCCATGCTTCAAAAATGTCCCTGACAGCAGCGGCCTCAGTTAATCTCCAAATGACAAATTTCTTGAATGGCCTTGACCTTGGGTATGCACAGGGTCCAGGAAATGAAGCCATGAGGCTGTAGTGGTTCCTTCCTGGTTTTGGTTATCTCGGGAGCCAGGACAGAAACTCCTTTTATATACCTTCTCAAACACTTAACAAAAAAATCATCTTTGGCTGACTGACTTGTGTACAATGCACAGTCTATGACTGTATTAATGCAGATATATATGTTGCCTTTAAAGGTTTATGTATTTTCAGATCAGGGGGACCAGACACTGATGGAAATGGATGGCTCAGGTGATCTAGCATCCAGAACAGCTTCAAGGCTGCTGACTGAGATGATCCAGCCTCACAAAATATTCCAGCCAAGACCTAACAATTATCCTGATTTTCTCAAGATTCCCTCAAAGATAACTAGCATCCCCAGACAACAGAAAGCAGTCTAGAGAAAACATCATCCACATTTCCAAAATATTGGTTATGGATGTTTGTTATCATTTAAGGGGGGTTGGCTACAAGCTGTTATTGGTAATGGTTAGGAAAAAAGCTAAACAAAGGAGATTAGATTCAAGAATCTCTTTCTGAAAAGAAACAGGGGGATATAGAAATAACAGGACAAATAAAAGGGTAGATTATTGAATCTATTTTTAAACCAAAAAAAGCAACTACTAGTCTTAAATATTTCACATTGGTATGGATTTTTTTATATTGATACAAATTTAAAGTTATTTTTGTTATACTGTATGTATGTTCCTACTCTTGTTTGGGTTGTTTTGTTTATGAAACTCATTTAAAATTGTAATGTATAATTAAAAATACAGATTAATAGTCATCTATAATAGTCAAATTTATAGTCATGTTAGATATATTTTCAATGTCATAAACAGATATATTTGGATAGATAGATGGTCTTCAATACTTCAAATACCTACAGAATATGGCATTTAATATGTTTAATAACCTAAGGTTCATGACAGTAAGACAGCACCAATCTACTTCAGAGATGGGCATCAAAAAAAACTCTATATGGAGTTTGCTTTCTTTATGACAAAAGCTAGCCATGTGGACAAAGAAACTACTTTTGCCTCAACTGCTGACAGTTACTGTCTAAACTGGACCAGCAGGATGCAAAAAAAGGTGACTGGCAAACTTTGCCAAGATAAGGTAGGACAGTCCTTCAAAATTCCCTGCTTCTCAGAAGTGTCTGTCAGATACACTAGGCCTGTGGCCAAAGTTGGGTGCTCTAACATGATAGAAGAACCTAGGGTGACTGTGCAGGAAGCCAGCTGTCCCTGTCATTAGGTAACATTTCACCCTTCTGGGGTCTTTGATGGAGTTAGTCATAGTTAAAGTTTTCCTTAGTCGTGATAAAAGGTAAATTAGGTACAAAACTTTAGAATCACAAAGATAAGATAAATATAGAGCATTTTCTCTAAATTTGTCAAACACAAATGG